GTAACTTCATAAGAATCCTTACAAACAAAATACATTGTGGTTCCATTAAATGTTCAACCAAGCCTCTTTCGTTACTCCTCACTAAGATATTGACAGTAGTGAAGGAAAAACTTCGAGTACTGTGCAACAATATATTCAAGAAGTGATGTGAATCAGATGAGGATACTGAAAATTTCCAAAGAATTTTTATATTTTAAATCACAAGATTTTACCAAAATTAACCATGTTAACAGCTTTAAAACTTACGACTTTTCAACTTTATACACAACCATTCCCCACGATAAATTAAAGTCCAGGCTTTTTTTTTTATATCATTGACAGCTGTTTTTTCAATAAAAATGGAACTCAACTAAATTTATCATTGGTCATTGGTCATTTGCAAAAGCGATTTTGTTAAAAACATTCTGATTGCACACACAAGTACTCTGAAGTTTCCTATGTCGATACGATATATCCTGGTGAGCCTGAGATAAAAGATACCACAGAGTCTGACACATCTAGTTTCATACTTGGATATTTTACTTGAAAAAGACTATGTAATCTATCAACGAAGATCTATGATAAACGTGATGACTTTAACTTTTCTATCGTCAATTTCCCTTACTTTATGCAGCTATATACCTTCATCACCTGCATACGGAGTTTATATATCTCAGTTGATTCGATACGCAAGAGCATGCTCTACGTATGAACAATTTCTAAAACAAGTTAGAATTGTTGACAAACAAGTTGATGGAACAAGAATATCAGCAGTCTCGTTTAAAGTCATCATTTTGTAAGTTCTATGGTCGATACAATGACCTTGATAGCATATACAATTTATCATTGAGTCAAATGCTGACTGACGTTTTTCATCCTAATTGTTAGTCTATAATTTATTTATACACTGAATTGACGACGGATTTTTTCCGTTATTTCCTGATCATGACAAGGACCACACAGCGGGTGTGACTGGTCGGCAGGGGATGCTCACTCCTCCATGGCACCTGGTCCCACCTCTGATGTTTTGGATGCCCGTGTTTGCTCTGCTCCTAATTTATATTGTTTTATGGACTTCGATATTGAATACTGTTCGTTATCTCCATATCCTTCATGCAAGATGGGTAACGGACTTAAAATAAATTGTATTGTCATCTTTCTGCTTCAAACGAAATTTTGAAAATCTTACGAAAAGACGCGTTTCCCTGAAATCTCACAGACGTTCCGAACCTTCCTTGAATGTCGTCAGGGTTGTGTCGACGCCTATTTTTCTTAGATCCATTTAGCTGAGAAAAATGGTATTTTTATAGATATTTAAAAAAAAATCTCTATGTAGTTTTAAAAATATCCATTATCGACCTCGCAAATCTAACTTACTAGATGTAATTAATTATTGAAACGAAAATAACTTAAAAGTTCGCGTTTCCTTGGACAGCCATCGTAGTTACCTATTTTAGAGGCTATATAAGAAAAAAATTAAAGAATTTACCCGGATTCCTTGAATTTGCCCCATAAATCATATGGATCTAGAGGAACATATCTAAGATAGTTCTTTTTATTTAAAAAAAAATCCCAAGGAAAGAGAAAAAAGCCTGTAGGAGTTTTTAACTGCAGAATTTTTTATACTCAAATAACCATAAAAATATACTTAAATATACGTAATAAGTATAAATACGAATAGGTAAAATTATTGACTATAAAATTATTTCAAATATTATTTTTGCAATTTTTGATGCAGCTTTGATTTCATATAAAAATGTTTTAAATTTACTTCAATTAATAAAGTATCTTACCAGATCAGTACAGGGGGAGGGGCGCTCTCCTATAGTAGTTAAGATTAACATCGACCAGTACAAACACCGGATATATTTCCTTCAGAAATATAAATGAGTTACAAATAATATAGGTAGAATGATATAAAACTTACAATATTATAATTATATTTATCAAATTATGTCTTATTTTTAGCCCAGAGACAAACTTTTCTCACCTAATGAAGGAATCAAATTCTTCTCCGCTAGGGTAGACCCATTCATTGCTTCCTCTTCCTTCAAACTGAAAGAAAAATAATCGTCATTTTGACGATTTATATTTCTCAACAGTATTTTATTAACATTTTCTGTAAAATATTCTTCTTACTTCTGATAACATGTAGTAAACACAGCCAATCCAATGTATGACCAGCCAAAGATACAGCGAGAGCTTTATTGCTCGTATTCGATTTGGAGTACTTGTTCGACTGCAAAAATGAGGAAATCCATTATAAATAGTAAAATGGTGCTGCAAATAATTGTGCAAAATAATGAAAATAATAATAATGAAAAAGAAGAATATATTAAACACTAATCAAACGCAGTAATCCAGTAAAATATACAAATTATGAACAGGACTATACACAGACGAAGTGCGAGGTCGACATGCTTTTCTGTGAAGTCGATATATCTATGGATTGAGCGAATTAAAGGGCTACATTCGTTATATTATTTTTACAGGGGTTGACAGAAAAATTTGAAGATAATGGGAAGAAGCCATAAATTTTTCTCTTGTCTTCTTTAACACTTAGAGACTATAGATCAAAATTAATTTGGTTTGTTTAATGTAAATGTTTTTTCTTTATATCTAAAGAGTAATTTAGGGAATTTAATAATTTAAAAAGCTACACTTGTTTTATTACGTTTTTTATTGATTTTTGAAAAAAAAATCTCTAAATATGTTTTTAAGTAGATCCTTATTCAAGGCACCGTTACGTCTTTACAAAATACTATATTACAAAGCATCTGATTTATAAATAGGAATTTAATTTTCTTTTTCTTTTTCAGAAACATCAAGTCATACACTGCATTAGCTAGTGCTTTGAAAGTTTTTGATAATTTATTTTTTATTTAAATTGATTCTTGAATATGTGAACGGTCAGTACTTCTGAAATTTCTCATTTTTAGCAGATATTTTGGTTAAGAGTAATGATAAGTGTGGGCTTAGTTGAAAATTTACTGACCATGAAATATATTTTATGATGTTTCGGATCCAAAGGAATGCTAAATTAAATGCATTTTATGACTTTGGTACTGTACATACTGTAAACGTATTACATTTGGCGGTGTATTCTTTTTAGCGCTTTTGGCGGAAAGATACTTCCGCTAATTCAAGTACATCGCTAAATGTCTTAAACAATGATACATGAATAAGAACATCAAGAAATGCGCTAAATCAAATCTACGCTAAATTGTTTAAAAATCATTTTCCGCTAAATATCGTACACGCCAAATATAATACATTTACAGTAATTTGTTTACAATTTAAAAGTTTGGATGCAAAATTTGGAAATATCTGTAGGAAATCATGGAGTTGATTATATGGTGAACTTTTTTTATGATTAAATAATGTTCAAAGCATTTACGAATGAATCTTACCTATCAGTTACTTCGAAAAATCTGACAACAATATATGTTTTGATAAGTCGTGGTAAACGTAACAAAGGAATGTATAGACTACCTGAAAAAGAGTTCACACAAAAAGCATTACAGATTAATTATCATACGAAAATGTTTATATAAATGTATTACATTACATAACATAATCTACAATGTCTAGCATTGAAATACTCACTAACGTTAAGGGACTCAACATGAATAAAAAGATAACCAAGAAGACCTGAAGAATGAAAAAATATAATACTGTTTAAATAAGAAAGAGATTTGTGACTCAATTGAATGACTGATGTAACGTTAGACATAAAATTTTACCTAATAAGCAGCTTGTCGTGTATTGTAGTGGAAGTATCGATATTACATCAGCTACAAATCTAGTTTGACTTCTGTAATTTTTAGCAAGCCTCTTAGGGTCCACTTCCTATCATTAGAAAAATATACTTTAAGAAGTTTATGGAAAAAATGATAAAAATAAAGAAGGCTGCATCCTTACATTGTTAATGGAAACTTTACAATTTTTTTTTTAAATTTTTAGTCATGTCTAGGAGCGAGATCGACGAAATATTTAAAAGCATTGTGGTTCTTCAAAAATCAAGATACGGTATTTTATATAAAATCACGTTTATATGCTGTAAAAGAAAATTATAATTATTAATTTTTTTAAATTAAATTTTTACTCACCAGGCACCCATCGTCGTAATAGGCCACTCTAAACTGTATGATGATGTCAAGAAGGTAGATGACGTCACAGATGGTATCGAACATAAGGAACAGGTACGTCCACTGTGATATAAAATGTTATTTAATGCATAAGGTCAATATATTGACCCTATGAATGTATATATAATCTATCATTAAGTCAAATGTCGACTGAAGTAATTTTCATACAAATTGTTAAGCATTTTTATTATATGATTGAATAATTTCCATCTCTATGATTGGCTGAGATCCAACTATGTTAGAAAAATACTACGTTGTATTGACCTGCACGTGACGTTCCAGGTCAATACAAGGATTTATTTCGCCTACATTGATCTAAAAATACATCGGGATATTCCAAATTGATACAAATTGATTTGGAAAGCTATTTAAACTACTATAACTTTTTTTTCATGTGAAAAAAACATAAGCGAATATATATTTTCGGGTGAGGGTGGTAAGAGGGATGCAGGGACACTCCTCCAACACTTTTACTGAACAACAATTTTTACTTTTTGGCAGTCAGTTTTCCCTGATAATACTCCTTTCTTTCAAAATCTATCCTATAAAAAAGACTGACATTTTATTTTTTTTCACGGCAACTAAAATTAATAAAAAAAAAAATCATTTCAAAATCATGCAGTTATATATAATGATGAGTCTTGTTTTTTCCGGTCTTATGTCGATACTGTATATCCCAGCGAACTTAAAATAAAAGATACCACAGAATCTGATACATCTTTTCATATTTCGGTGATGTTTAACTTAACCAAGGCTAATGATAAACGAAATGACTTTAACTTTTCAATTATCAACTTCCCTTACTTACGCAGCAATATACCCTTATCACCTGCATACGGGGGTTACATCTCTCAGTTGATTTGATACGCAAGATCATGCTCTACGTATGAACAATTTCTAAAACGAAGTAATCTATAGGTTAACAAGTTAGTGAGACAAGAATATCAACAGTCTCGTTTATGGTAATCATTTAGTGAGTTATATAGTCGATACAATGACCTTATCAGCCAATACGAGTTTCATTGAGTCAAATGCTGACTAAGGGTTTTCATACTAATTGTAAGGCCATTATTTACACACTAAATCGACGGATTTTTATTTGCCGATCATGGCAAGGAAAATTGTCCATTTTAAAATTTTCAATGAAACCGAGAAAAATTTTGTGCGAATGGGATGATGACCTTATTAGAACAATTGGATATTCAAGAAATAAATCAGTTCCACAGTAAATTAAAGAAGCATTCTTTCCCCCCTTTTTTTCTTTAGGATACAAGCTCGTCTGGAACATAAATTTAGTGCATCACGAACCCGATCGTAGTCCGAATTATAAAAAATAATTTAAAGATATGTATGCCGTATTAAACAGTATTTTTGCACAGCTGAAACCGAACAAAAATTTCTGGAGTATGATAAGCTACCAAAAATAAAGCATTCTTGCAAATTCGACGAAGTTTTATTTGGTATTAACAAAGTACTGGTCAGGAAAAGAACACGATATTCTCATGCATATTTATAAAGGACTGACGTTTATCCTGGATCTGCGCATGTGCGCGGGAAAAGCATCGCAAGAATCATCAGGTCGAGGAAAATATTTTTGTGACGTCTGTTCAGTGAGGGACACAAATAGACCAATCAGCTCAATGAGTTGCATTTAATGCATTTATGGGTTACTACATAAAATACTACATGTGTTTTTCAAAAAGGTAGTTTTCTAAATCGCTCTCAGAAAGACATGATGCATTATGTACATTATTATCTACTAATTCCATGCTCATATTTGCATACAAATGATTAACAATGATGAAAATTAAAGTTTTCCCCACTCCATTGTACAGGTCCGTTTGTTTAGAGTTTCCCCGTGCTGTACTGCTAGTGGACATTTTCGGTTGGGTGAACATTTACGGATCTTCAGTATGGAGCGCATTATGCGCAATAGATATTTTATGTCAAATACAATGTATGGAAAGTAATTTAAACTGCTATGTTTACACCCTGAATGGGATATCGTCAATTATCCCTTTAGGTTTTTTAATATGAACTACATAACATATGTAGATGAAACTTACATTCCATACATCTTGCCTTCTTAGAAATATAGTTGGGCTAATAAAATAAAATTGGTCAAGGAATTCCAGGCCTCTAAAAACTATTCCAGTATGAGGGCACAACCAAGCATTTCGATGAACACCATTAAGAAAAATTAATTCAGGTAGGTAGCATCGTTTTTTGTTTTAAGTGGGTGGGGGATAGAACAATTAGAATAAAAATTAACTAGCTCGAAGAAATCTGACAAGTAAAATAGGTTCCAATATCTTTCACTACTAAATTTTATTCATTCACTACAATTTACCGCCAAACTCCAAATTTCACTTTCGAATTAGCCCGAGCCAATGCTGATAACCTACTTGCAAGATTTTTTATATTATTTTCAAGGGGTCAGAAATATTGTGATTCATATGTAAAGAATATAATTATATTATTTAGTAGTATTCTGGTTTTGGCATTCGTATATTGTGCAGATTTATACATGCTATTCTGTGGAATACTTTTGTTGTTTTGAACCATTAAGAAATGCAGAATCGAATGTATCTAATAACCATTTTGATTGATCAAATTATATCATTTGTTTGTATTGGTTATTTCATTTTGGCACAACATGGTTTCCACACTTCTTTATCCATAGTCGCTGACAGCTGTAGAAGTTCATCCGATCGAAAATGTCCATTGAAAAGACAATTGCACGTGATTATTCGTCGGTACGAAAAGCAACCAACTCTGAGGTGCTCTCAATATTGACAATCCCTAACTCACGTGTTTGTAGTAAAAACGTAGTAGACCATCATGCTTTTCGGTTCATTCACGAGATTGGACCATTGTTTGCTGTAAACATGCGCGACAACGTGATCATGAATATTTCAATAAGAGGCGGTTTTTTATCCGACACGGAGAGAAAATAACTTTTACCAAATAATATTTCATAACTTTTAAAAGTGATGGAGTGGAATTGTCTTATTTGCAGAAAGTATATAACTTATATAACTTGATGAGACACCACATATATTTATTACTTTTAAAATAAAACACTAATACGGCATATATAGCTTTAACATGCCATAATTCCGTCAAAAATCAATGAAGCGGATAGAAATTCGAAAATTAACTTATATACAAATAAGTTGTGAACAGGGCATTACATGACAAAAATCCGCTCAATAGCTGCAAGAATTTGAAAAAAAAAGTGCTGAAAACCAAGTGGGACAGACTGACAGACGGACGGACGGACGGACGAAATTCCACAATATTCTTACATAGAAAATTATGTCTTGTTTTTGATTTCAGATATTAACGAGTTTTCGATAAGATTGGTGAATAATCAGACAGCCAACAGGGGCTATGTTGAGGTGTTCCTTGGTGGATTGTGGGGCACTATCACACACACTCGGCCCTACAGACACTACACCTGGGGTAAAGGAGCTGCGACCGTGGCCTGTAGGCAACTTGGTCTTCCACAGTAAGTAGAAGCGACGAAATTGTGACGAAAAGTGACCATTTTTAAAAAGTCAAATAAAAAATACAGATTAAGAGAAAGGGCAAAACCCAGACCTCTGAGAACATGGGTGGAATCAGATGCCACGGAAGAGAAATGGAAATAGAAAATTATCACGAACATTATTACTTGCAGAAAAATTGCGTTTTCAATTGCATAACGGGAGTTGTAATTCTCCTTGTAACAGGTCGGAGAGAATACTCGAAATCGGGTATTATCCGTGAAATCGCGTATAATACTCGATAGTAGGGTATCGTTGAATCCGCGAAATCGGGTATAGGAGGTGTAATCACCTAATAAAACTTAAACAATGGGATGGCGCATGTTGCTGAGATAACTTTCATCTAGAGACACATGTTTTCTAAAGGTATCACTAGCCAAGTAAGAATTTGGGCTTCAAGATTAATGCACTCGGGACAACAAATACCCGTGGAGCTCAGTACATTTCATGATCTGCACACAAAAAAGGCGTTCGATTTGCTTTATATTTTACCTTATGTTGAAAGTATATACATTTTCCTAATGTTAATTCCCAACACAACAGAATTGTAAAGTATCAGAATTCGGGAATTTATAATGATTCCACATCAACACGACAAACATGAACAATTTGTAAATAAATCAAATAATACGGAAACACATTTCACACACCAGATATGATGCCATGTACATACAAGGGGTTGTCTATCGTATCTAATTATGTGTCATTGATTACTTTCACATTCATCTTGTGCATAAAATCAAATTTATGTATGAATGTATAAATAATGCAATGATAAAAATGTCTAAAATTTCGGCTAAAAGAACCCTCTTTCTCTTTTTTTTTTGAAAATCTTTTCTTTTTTATTTATCATTCAAACATATTTGCAGAATATGTCTTCAACATTTTAGCAGAGACAGTGATAGTTTCAGGAATACAGCTTGTGAGAGAAGATAACTGTTGATCGTTTAATTTCGCTAAGTTATCAATATTTTCTCATTTCTTGGCGACTTCAAAAGGGGGGGGGGGGGGGCTAAAGGCTTCTTAACCACCTCTGACAAAACAACCTCGACTGTGTTCTACATGGGTCCAAGAGACCTCTCTTTGAATGTCACGGTCGGTTAAACTCGGTCATATATTTTTGATCGTAGGGAAGATTTATTCATCAAATAAAAATCATATACATTGTAGGTAAACAAAAAGCAACCTGTTATTTTCTAACACAATATGAGACTATAAACAACTAGAATTTTATTTTTTAAACAATTTTTTTCATTATAGATGAGTATTAGGAAAAGTTATTGCCATGAGTAATACATATCATAGATAAAATAACTAAAAGAAAACTGTGACATATTGTCTACAACCAATCAGATAGTGCGTTGTATTAGCATATTATAATGAGGTATAAGATAGCGATATAAAAAAAATATAGAAGGTAAAGAGGTAAAATTTACCCTGTCTATCAAATAGTATAATAAAGAAAGGAAGTAGCTACGATTTTTTATGAAATTTTAATGTCCGATGAGGAATTATATTCCCAAAAAGTAAGACAAGAGTTCCTAAGGCAATTGAACACTCCATTATTTCATTTTGTTCATTAACATGTTCATAAACGTAAAAACTATAAGAAATGTGCAAACTTGACTATGTAATTCATGTTTCAATATGACTGTACCTCGATCTATATTGAGAAATTCAATGTATTATAAGCTCATGAAAAGATGTACACATTTGACTTTTATTTATACCCCCCCCCCCAAAAAAAAAAAAAACAAGAAAATCCTGTTCATATGACTTCTTGCTCTCAATTTTCACACAAATGCATAAAATAAAGGTAAAATAGCATATCTTGTATCGATTAAAATGCAACCAAAAAATTTACGGTGTCTCTGAATAAAAATTTCATGCTAAATTGACATAATAAACTCACCTTCAATTAGCTATTTTCAAACTGTTTTCCCGTGGGTATCTATTTAATCTTATTTTATTTTCTTCTTTATAATAACGTTGGTATTCTATTATGGCAGAGATATACAATTATGACTCTCTTATACTGTACTCTCTAACTTTAAGGAATAATTTATATTTCACGTGAAAGGGACGCCATACATTTTTCAGTAAAAATACATAACACGGCGTTAGTCGTTTAATTTCTTTAAAATTTCATGTTTTGTGAATGGTGCACATATTAGAAAATTAAGTGTATGGAATACTTTAATGGGAAATAAAGACAAACGAAGTGTAGTTATTTGTTTTTAGAAATTTTATTGAAAAATTATAACGCCATTGTGTCCTCTTTGTTACCCCAGCAGTGTTTGTCGTGTGATTTTAAAATTATTTGACAACCGTATGAATTAGGTTTAATAAAAATAAATCCACAAGATACTGATGTACAAGTAACAGTTACTGGCATAATGCGCCGTTGCTTTATTCTTTAGTTTTTATAGAAAGTTGCACGGAATACCCGATTTCGCGGATTCAACGATACCCTAATGTCGAGTATTATACGCGATTTCACGGATAATACCCGATTTCGAGTATTCTCTCCGACCTGTGTAAAGCAATGAATAATATATATAATGTCCCCCTTCGATCAGATGGCTAAATGTACTTGGTTTGATAAAGGTTGAATTAATGAAAGAATTCATTTCTGTTTTCCTGTACCTACTATTTTGGCAACCGCCGATTTCTTATGATAATCGCTCTAATGACTACATGTATAAGCTTTTAAAGCTATCAAAGTTTGATAAGATAGAGAAGTTATAGGTATCCTTTATGATTTTTAAAAAGATCAGTGGTATAGTTCTTGCAGTCACAAAACCATTCATAAGACCAAAGCTATCAAAGTTCAGACTAACCCGGTACAAGAACCATCCACTGAGAAATAGAAGAAAAAGAGGGGGGAAGCATAATTGATTAGAACCTTGTATAATTGCTTACCAAAGTCTTTGAGCTCTTTACCTCACATAAGCTCTGCTTTTCAGACAATTGTATAAGATCTTTTGAAACTCTTTAAAATCCTCTCCACTGGTATAATGAAAGAGTTCGAGCTTGAAAGTTTTTATTGTCATTTCAGTTCCGTATCACTTCCTGTTAGGAGTAGCATGTTTGGTTCCATATATTCTTTGAATTGGATAGAGAGCACCTACTGTTTAGGTAGTGAACAATCACTACTGGACTGTATCAAAATGGGAAGCGTGTCTTACTACAGTTCTTATAAAGCTGGAGTAATTTGTACAGGTACTTTGCAATGTCGTTCAGTATACTAGAACTGAGAGGCTTTAGAAGACACTAAATTTTTGATAAAATTCGCTATAATTTTGTTTATTTTTAACAATATCACTTATCTGGCTTCATTCTGTAATGCTTTGATAAAGATAAAATTGATAAACTGGTACTCCACTAGATTTATTTAATTTATGTAATCATCAGTTGTGTGTTAAATTCAGTAGTGTATTCGGTAAAATGAATTGAATAAAATAGTTTGGTTACATATATATAAATATAATTCATTTTTATCTTTTGTAATTTAGATACAGATAGTGTACACTATCGATTAGCGTCGAATACATCTGCAGGTAGGGTTGAAATTCAAATTGATGGAAAGTGGGGAGGAATCAACAAAAAAGCCTGGAATGAAAAATCAGCTTCATTGTTCTGTAAACATCTACAGAAACCCTTGTAAGAACCTCAAATAGTCTGCGATATATATTCTTATATATACCTTTATATTGTTCAGAGATGTGATATAAAACGCAATACAGTGAAACCTGTCTAATCCGACATGCACTGAGAGACAAATTTTGTGTCAGAATAGACAGGGTGTCGGATTGCACAGTGTTAAAAACAAAGAAAATACTAAAATGGGAAAGAAATTTAACGTCGGAATTTACAATTATTCAGGTGTCGGATTTGACAGTTTTCACTGTATTAGAAAATTCGTTCAGAGATTTTTTTTTTGAAAAAATGGAGAAACAAAGCGTATCCATGTATTTCATGAATTTCTTTTGATTTGATTTGTAAAACTAATTGGGTACAAGTTTTATCCAATATGATGTTATCATTGAGAAGATGTAGAATATCTAATCTTACTTGAGATGGAGCAAATAAATTTTTATTTCATGCTTAATAAACATCGTCTTCGATGTTTTATGTAAACCTCATATTTTTTATCACATTTTTATGTACTTGTTTACACTTCCTATTTAATTGAAGTATAATCCACATATGAAATTGTGCTTTTTAAAACTGTCGTGGCTGGTTCATTTTGCGAGAAACAAACTATCACGTATACCTTTCTTTAACATTCATTCTCATCTTCAAAATGTTTTTGCAAAGTGTGCATCACAGTTTTCAGTTCTTTTCGAAATCTGATAGACACACAGTCAAGCTTAAGAGAGCTCTTTAAACATCAGCTTTCTTTCAATGCTCAGCTCTAGAGCGTTACCAGTTGTAAATGACGTCTACGGATTCAGCCACTGGGAATGGTTGACTCAAGTTAGTTGCTACGGAACAGAAATCAATCTCATTGACTGTCCAAACGTAGTAACGGGGCAATACGGAACTGGATCTGCAGGTGTAGTCTGCACTGGTAAGCTTAAAGCTATAAAAAAAATCACTAATTCAACATTTAAATTACAGTATACAGTAAAACGCTGTTTTAGCTAAGTCCTGTGGACCTGTGAATTTAACAAGTTATATCCATATAAAATCAAAATAAAGAATTTAATTCGAACATTTGACGCAGACATTTTTGCACAATTATAGGTATAACTGGACTTGACATGTTTTTGTCGATCCTTAATTAAGTTGACCCATGTTTGATATGCTTTTTTAAATAGATTATGCGGAATTTAGAGTTCGCCTTAACAATGGAAGCACCGCAGGAAGAGTGGAAGTCTATTTGGACGGTGAATGGGGAGGAATTGACGCAAGCACTTGGACGCATTCAACAGCGAATATTGTTTGCAATCAGATTGGATTAAAGGGGTAATGCAGAGAGACAGCATTAACATCTGTATTTCTTGATATTGTAATTTTGGAGCATTAAAAATTTGGGATACCTTTTTAAGATACAAGTCCTTCTTTTGTCCTTTTATAAAAAGCTAATGCTTATTATTTTTTGTAATTTACTTAATGTTAAAAAAGGTTAAGATCTATGCAGTAGGCATGGTGTTGACATCTAAAAGACATAATGTTCTTGTGTAAATTTTGTTAATATGAATGCGTTATAAAGCAGCCTCTGCTTGTTTATATGAATATTATGGTATACTAAAGCATTACATTTGTAGCAGTTATACAGAGGTATGCTTCGTTTTCTTTTCAGGAAAACTGGTCTAGCTGTAAATAACACCCTTTATGGTGTAACACCAACCTTAACTTGGATTAAAGTAAAGGATTCCTGTTCCTCAGATGCACAGATCTTAAGCTGTAATGTCGAAGTCTTGGGAAACAAATTTTTTCCAAGAATAGAAGCTGGTGTTATTTGTGCAGGTCTGCTCTCTCTCTCTCGTACAATTCTCTCTCTCTCTCTCTCTCTCTCTCTCTCTCTCTCTCTCTCTCTTGTACAATTCTCTCTCTCGTACAATTCTCTCTCTCTCTCTCTCTCTCTCTCTCTCTCTCGTACAATTATAATGATCGGTGAAAACAGAACAGTTCGCTTTAAATGATCAATTGTTTATACAGATGTAGCTGAAAACGTATTAGAAATATATAATGGAAGTTGGTATGGAACTGTACGGTTTTTCCTGGAAAATGAATGGGGAACTTTAGATGCAGACGGTTGGGGACAAGAAGAGGCAACTGTTGCGTGTAAACAACTTGGATTTTCTTCGTAAGGGGATTTTTTTTAAATTTCAGCATTAAGTGATACCAAGATAATTATATTACTTAACATGAATAATAGGTTATACATTTTGAAGATTTTAGCAGAATAAATCCAAAGTATCCTAACATCTCAAATATTTAATAAAGAGGAAATTAAACAAGAAAACCTGTGAATTTTTCCAGTATTTCGTTGCATATTTAAAATTACGTAGGAGAAAGGCTTTGGCCGTACAGTCAGAGTTCTTTGGATACCTGGATTACAGAGTCTGGATCAAGGACTTTAAATGTACAGGGAACGAGCTAAATATTTTACAGTGTCCTTTGTCCATAAACGGGTTTTCCGATTACCGAATAAAAGATGCAGGGCTCATTTGTCAAGGTAAACAGTGTGTTGTGTTCAGTGCGTTGTTTAAATACAAAGCAACTACGTTTTATGCATGTAGAACTCATGAGAGATTTACTGTAAGTAAAAATATGAAGGAATATACAATTGTATTTATTATATAAATTGATAATTTCAATGTGTTATAATTCTTAAAGATATAGATTGTACATTGTTTTGTTGAAAGATTCTTTTCCTATAAAGAAATGATGTTCTATACTGAATTCTAGCACGTAAGATCAAAGTAAAAAATTAAAACCCAAGTTGAATATTATGGACATTTCCTTACAAAAGTCTATAACTATAGACAGGGAGAGTTTTATGGTAAGACTGGTTGGGAATACTACTACTCAAGGTGTTGTGGAGGTCTTCTTGGCTGATAGATGGGGAACGATAGATCCAACCCACTGGAATAACAACGCAGCAAAGTCGGTGTGCAGACATTTACAAAAACCGAGGTAGTGGGACACAAGTTAGCTATTTTGTTTTCATTTTACATTTAGATTCTCACAGTAGGGTAAATTAAAAAAAGTAGTAGTCTCAAAAATCTAATACGCGTGGCTTTCAACTCGACATTTAGATATATCGACAACGTACTGTCAACTAAGAATGGTTATTTCTATTTTAATGTCGATAAGATATATTCAGGTCAGTTTGAGATAAAAGATACTCCCAAAGAATCCGACAGATCTGTTTCATTTTTGGATATTTTCTTTGAAAAAGATGTTAATGGTATTCTAACAACCAAGCTTTATGATAAACGTGAGGACTTCAACTTTCCAATCGTCAACTTCCATTACTGATTCAGCAACATACATGCATGTACGAGGTTTATATTTATCACTTTATTCGATACGAAGAGCATACTCTTCATATGTACAATTTCTAAAACGAGGTGACTTATTGACATATGATGAAACAAGAATATCAGTGATGTTTTTTAAAAGTCATCTTTTTTTCGTAAGTTCTTTGGTCGATACAATGACCTTGTCAGCAAATACAACTTATCATCGGTCAAATGCTGACACGTTTTTCATAATTATTGTTAGGCTATTATTTACACACTGAATTGTCGACGGGTTTTTCGGTTATTTTTCGATCATGACAATGAGCACAGGGCGGGTTCGATGGCACCTGACCCAACCTCTGATATTATGGAGGTCTGTGTTTGCTATGCTCCTTCTACTGTTCGTTATCTTCATATACTTCAAAACTTGGGTAAGTCCACCCCAACCCCAGAATAAAATGAAAACATTTTAAACAGATATTTGACATTCACACGATCTTTACAACAACCCCCTGTATGAGTGAAATTCTCGAATTGGGCATTAAGCTTCTCATATAACATACGATGAATTTAGTTTTTAAATATATTATGTTTATAAAGCTATTTGTAAAGCATAATAATTCCACCAAATAGTTAATTTTGAAAGAAAAGTATTATAATATCGAGTTTTTTTTCATGGTATCAATAATAATCAGTTTTGTTACTTCATATTTGAAAAGGTCGGACATTTTCATCCATTCTCAATATAAGGGCACAAATGCCTCTTTGATTTTTTAAAAAATGAAGTTCAAGAAAACAATTTTTCTATCAATTACCTTTGAAAGAAAGTATCTGAAGATTTTGTTTCCAGATTTTTTTTATCAAATTATAATACATGGACTAATGACAAGACGATAAAGCAGAGGGTGATTTTATTCAGAAATATAGTTTGAAATGTACGTTACTCTTTCTTCAATGTCCAAAAAGACATGTAAAAAAAATGTAGTCATTAAAATCACAATTGGAATAGCTCATCTTAACACCAGCACATCCTACCAACTCTGTCAGCAACATATTTTCTCGGCATAAAAACGTGCGTTTGATTTTTCCTTTCAAAAAACAATGGTTACTTTTTGATCCAGATGTAGAAAAACATTTTTTAAATATATGCTTTAAATTCTTCTCTCTGTTTTGTTTAGAGCAATCAGTTTGGAATCTTGTCATTTTCTATAGATACTGGAACCTAACATGTACATGTAGTAAAATTCTATTTTGTAGTTACTGTCTTTTTTAACATATATTCATATCGATTTAGAAAACTACGTAAATATAACGTACATTTCAAGATATATTTCTGTTTAATAAAAAGCTTAAAATTCATCTAAAATTCATCGTTTTGTTTCAGTTTATTAAAAAAGAGATTCTCTATGTAATCACATTGCGTTATATGTCGCAATCACCACTATAAAGACACGATTGCCTCAGAATATGAGTAGGTAACGTACATTTCAAACTTGTAATAATATGTAAATTAGTAATAAAAAAAATTTGAAAAAAAAAGCAATTATTGACATAAAAATCATTTCAATGAAGCGTTTTAAGGCAGTAATATAAGAAATCATTATGTAACAAACGAGGTTATTTGTCATCAACTACATGAATGTCACTACATGAATGTCACGTCACTTCGGTAACGTTCATTTCACATATTATTGGAGAGTCCCCTCCACCTCAGTTCATTACCATTCTTTTGTGCTGTTTCGCTGAAATTGACACCGGTTGTACCCTAGTTACTTCTACCTGTGTGCAAGGGTACAGACAAAAAAATATGAGTCAGATGTATTTTGCTATGATCTAACAAATGCTCGTGTTTGGCCATTGAAACTTAACATAAATCTATTCCGAATATATCCATCGATAGTTTGTTAATAATTTCATTTAGTATGTTGGAACATCGTATACGTGCTTTTCAGCAGATCTGCAAATTTAACCCAAAATGCAATGATTCAAACAAAACTGAGTATTGTGTGCCTTTCAGTATTTGAAATGTACGTGACCGTCTTGTGTTATGGGTTTAGGCCTATTTGTTTCTTTTTTTTTCTATTTTTTGTTTCTTTTTTTTTTTACCAATTATAAGCCTATGCAAAACCTTGTTTTAAATTATCAACAACAATTCAATTAAGATTGACGAAAAGTCGCATATTAAAAGTAAACAAACTGCAAAAAGGCTGCCAAAAATGAATTTAAGACACTTAGAAATAAATGTTCTAGCATGTGGTAACAGTCTACCACATTTACGAGGATTGGGGGTGCATTTAGATGGATTTATGTGGTCAGTTGTCAAATGGATTGTATCGATAATTTTGTTTCGCTCGTGTAAACGCAATTCATTGACTAAATTAAAAAAAAATTCAGTTAGAAATAGGTAAAATGTACGTTACCATACGTAACGTACATTTCAAATATAAAAATCAATTCTCTTCCACAAGCGTACGTTAGACACGCAATATATTCTTGATACTATTTGAACTTGCATATCGTAAGAAATGCATCATACAGGTTTCGTATTCAGAAATATATACCAGGTATCAAAATTATATTACATATAATTGACCTTAATAAATATTTTTTCCTCAGCAGAAACGTTTCTTTTCATTAATTTTGGGATTTAGCCGACCTCCAACCTTTGAAACTTTCCTTTGTGTACACATTTGAGCGTATGAAAGTATGAGAATACATGAAAATTCACTTAATTCGAATTTCATGGTAACGTACATTTCAGTCACGTACATTTCAAATGATCACTTTTCATGTAAAAAATAATTTTTAATTGTGTTAAGCAAAACGTCTTTGCCAGTTTACAGGATACAAGGGGTTGCTTATTCAGAGTCGTCTCATATTTTCTACTTAATATATATTCTTAATGGAAGAATATAGGTAACGTACATTTCTTTCTTATCTCTACGATTGAAAATGTCTTTCATTCCGTAAACATATTGATAAAAGTTGCTCAAATTGTTCAATTTCATGTTACATTATCTAAGTAGGAGTAATTAATCTATTGAAATTTCAAATTTAGCCCATCAATAAATAAAGGAGAACAAAACTATCAGGTGTATAGTCTTTGTGTTTGCTTGTAATGTTGTTGAAATAGAATTAAGCGACAGGGACCTTGCACAATAAAAATTATTTATTATCACCAAGAAAATGTATTTATTGTTATGAAAAGAAATAAATATGATACAAGGTTTAACTTATCAGAAAATTTTTATTTAAGAATCAAAACTATATATTACACAGAGGGGATTCAGAATAATATTTGCCTCGGCGACAGTAACGTACATTTCAAATAGGCTACTATATTTGAATTTGGAACTCCTTAAATAACTTTTAAGATCGATAATTATATGATTTCTTATTCATTGTTATATGACTATTTATAATGTTGATTTAGAAATTACATCAGTGGTATTTCTTTTAAATGAAAATGAGGCGACATTATTTGAGCCCTTATATTGAGAATGGGTGTTTGCCAAACCTTTACTACAAGTACCTTATACTGTGTATCAATGTCTTTTCAGTCGCTTTGGATTTGCTGTTAAATCGAGTATATTTCACCAAGAAAATTCACACCAGTGGCTTTCTACGGCAAATTGTGATGGGAACGAACCCACTTTGTTTGACTGCAAACTGTTTGTATCTGGAATAATGGAAACTTCGCAAGCAGCTTCTGTTATTTGCTCTGGTATTTTCTTGCTTGGATCTTAAAGGCTTTTTAATGACAAGATTATATTACTGATATATATGTAGGTTCTAAAAAATCTAAATATTTGCTGATTATACTTTTTACTTTCATATATTATAAACAATGTTACCCCTTTCTAACCTTTGCTGTTCGGTTTGCCGTTCAAACGGCATGGAATCGTAAGGAGACTGCAGCGATTCAAAATGAGGTGTACATGGAGATAACGAACAGTATTCAATATCAAAGTTAATAAAACAATACAAAATAGGAGCAGAGAAAACACGGACCTCCGAAACATCAGAGGTGGGATCAGGTGCCATGGAGGAGTGGGCATGCGTCGAATTGTACCCGCCCGTGTTTCATTGTCTATCATTGAATGTTTTGATTGTAACAGATAGAAATTACGTAAGCTGCATATTTTTAATCTTACCAGTTAATGCTCTGCAGTCTTGCATATTAAGAGCTTTTTATTGACCTATGATCAATCTTTGATAATTAAAAATCTATTATTGGTTAGAAATTTAATAAGACTGATTTATCAAAAATATGCTAATCAAAGTTAAATTAATGCTTTATAATAAGGTACAGTGTATTCAATAAAAAGTCAGAGTTAGAAAAAAAGATACATTTTAATAGATGTATTTTTTTGTCCGGAAAAGCCGTAATGGTGGTATGGTGGTCTCATTGTTTTAGTCCTAAATATTTTGTAAAATGTGCTTCCCATGTTGGTTACATGTACATGTATATATTTAAATCAATTTCATGATGAATCAACGAGACTAGTATTAAACTTTGCTCATTTCGAGCATATATATAAAAACAGAATCCTAGATATTTATATCCAAGAGTGCAATGCATTTATGGATAATTCGACAAAATGTTTTTTACATAAGCACATTGTCCAATCTGATTTCTGTAAAATGCAACCCTATTTAACAAGACCTTTTCAAATCAATTTACAAAAGCACATTTCCCGCATCAGACTTGAATTTCGTCGTATTATCTTAACATTGAATGCGGAAGGTACCAGGCAAGAGCAGAGATGATAGAATATACTGTGTTATTGATAGTCATTAAAGAGGCTGGGGGTGGCAGCCATTTTCAGACTATTTCAATCTCCTTTAAAAGAATAGCTCCATATAAAGATATACAAAAATGATCAAATTTTAAAACTAAAATGTAGGAGTTTTTTCTTTGCCAACTTTGACAGCTTAAGATACCGTATCTAAAAAAATAAGTTAAATCTGGTGGTTAATTTGTGATGAATTTGTTGACCCCCCAGCCTCCTTAAATAGAAGATGAATTTCATTTCCTTCTCCAGTGTCCTAGATATCTAAATCTAAGAAAGAAATATATAAATAAATATTATTACAATGCGCCAGTGAGGAGAACACAAATGTAAGTTGACCGGCTCAAAAACTCAAACTGCGCAATTGGTTTCTTTCAGTTTTTGGGTGAATGTAATGATTATGATAGTCTACTGTAATGGTAGCGGTTTTTGTGGTAGTTAGGTGGCGATTGAACAGGTGGCAGGACAAATAACCTGACCGGAAAGTGACTGTTTCGCGTTAATGTCATCATCACGTTTAGTTGGAAGCCAGTCCTGGCCCTCTCTGACAAAGGGTAAGACGTTCTATGGGGGGAAATTTACGAGAAATTCCTCAGTAATCTGGTGTTGCCTTTGTCCTTACATATGCAACTCGCAAACCAGACCCCATGGAACTTTTGTAAACTGTACCAAGATTGCAAGAAATCACAGGTTAGAACGGCTAATTTATGAAGAAATATTGAATATTGGGGGGGGGGGTTCTGTTCACAAGTATGTGTGGTTTCTACAGAGAACACATGCATGTTTGTTGGTGTTACAGTCCATAATTTTGCGATAAATCTTATCAGTTTCTTTTCTTCCAAAAAAACCTCGAATTTATATATTCTTACAGGGATGATTCAGGGATTTCAATCTTGAAACATTACAAAGTCCCTGTCCATTTCGGTTCTGGTTGTCCAGGATAAGATTTGATAGTAATGCATTGATTGGCGCACGATGTTTTTCCAGGAATATTTTCCAGCAAACCTTGCTTCATGCTTGAGAAATATCTAGATAATTAAAAAGATTGTATTTTTTTAAAAAAAAATGCCAAATGTCTTGTACAAAACGAGTGATCTGATTATATTATATTTTTGGAGTGCCCATTATCTTATCTGCGATTGGCAAAAAGATGAGACAAAAATAGTAAACTTCAAAGAATGATAAACACGGAAAGAAAAATTGGTAAAAAAACGACTAATAATTTGTTATATTGGTGTGTTGTTACACCACTAGGTTAGTGAAAACTTAAAAGTTGATTGGAAATCATGTTATTTCAAATCATATTTATCCCTTAACATTTTATCCCTTAACATTTTTCTTGTTCCAGGTTAAAGTGGGGGGGGGGGACCTCAAGGACATTTTTTACTCCACCACATACATAATTATGTATGTTAACGGTCTTGTAGAGTAGCCCCCCCCCTAAAATATTTTAAAAATTCTTTCTAAAATTTGAACATCATAGTAAGTTTACAATTTTTAAATATTATAGAAATTTTATTATTGTAATCATTTACAACAAAAATACATGTAGGTCAAAAAATATATACCAATCTAGACATCCATTTTTGTTTGTTTCATTATATTTTGAGAATATTTACATTTCATTTGAAAGCTAAATATTTTGGTTTGAGATTACATTATTTGCCTTACAATGTAAGTAATTAAACCCACACATTTACCTTTTAAAAATCAGTTTGCTGTTTATCTTTTTTTTCACAAAGATATTGCGGCAATGGTTTACATTGACTCTATAACGACGGGAAAATCCTACTCCGATAAATAAAGAGGGGAAATTTTACTCTGGTGTGAGATTTCCCCTCGGGGGAAAATCCTACTCTAGAGTACGATTAGGCCTATGTCATTTAAGTTGACAAGGGCGATAACTTCAAATAAAAATACATAGAGGCAGTCTACCAAAATCTTCTTCATTTGACTAAATATATAATTCGGGATTGACATTCTCTATCTTTATCCCTTGTTTGCAATCAGTTTATCTGAACTCTATATTTTAAATATTTTTTTCTGCATTGTGAGGTTGCGTTGACAAAAGCCAAAATGAACTTGCATCTTGACTCTCGTTGTTCTACGTTGAAACCGGTGTTTTATATTTTGAATATTAATGTTCGTTTGGTATTGGCCATGCATGCCTCTGGGAAAATAAATTTAATGCAGCAGTAGAAAAATCCTTTTTTAGGGTCGTAAGAAGCAATTTCAGTTTTGGGGAAAAGAGGGGGGGGGGGTCAGTTCGGGTACTATTAACTATGAAAAATTCCTTGACAAGCAAAAAAAAAAAAAGGTTAATATCAAACATATTTATTGAGGGGACACAGGCATAATGTAGCTTAGTTTTCTACAGCTGTATAGTATTCTATATATCGGGAAAATTACTCCCCCGGACCCCGGACCCCTCCCGGTTTCTACGGCTATGTTTTTTGAAGGAATTTTGTCAAATTCCTTTTTTAAATGTACATGTATGTTTCTACTGCTACATTGAATTATTTGTATTTTCCCAGCGGCATGCATGGCCAATACCCGTAATTAAAACATTTTTGTGACGTCATCTTTTGTTAAACATTGTTCAATAAATTTGTTATTGTCCTGCACCCCGTCCAATAAGTTACCTGTAGGTGTCCAATAAGATTCAACTTATTGGACTGGTACAGGTAACATTCAAATAAGAACAAAGGGCGAGGCAAATAAATAAACATAAAATAATGACAAATCAAACAATTTAATATGAACAACGTAGGAAATTAGTAGCGTTAAATGTTAATATTTCACCAAAAAAAAATCCTATTGAAAATGGCACAAATAATCCAAAGTGAATTGAATATCTCACATTCATTAAAGTAAAAGCATCCGCGGTTCCGATCATAAATTTCCTAAATTCACCGTTCATTAATTGCTATATACAAGATTCATTTCACAATGATTGATCCATGGAACATATATAGAATCCAAGGGACACAAAAGATGAATGAGAAATATAGTTTTCTTGCACACAACCTTGGGCTTTTTTGCTTTTTTAAATATCCGACTTTTCCGCATTTAGCACAAAAGTTTGCTCATGAAATTCCAACGGAATCTGATTTCGTTCGGTATTTTATGACCATTTGTCCACCTAGTCCCGCATGGTTTTATCGAGTGTCTGTCGTTCGTTGTTTTAAGGAGTGGCTGGAGTAAAAATCCTTCCGAGTTCGGAACCTGCACACAAAAGAGAAACCGTTGCATTAAAAAAAATACATCAAAAATAATCTCTCAATTTCATAGAAAATGCTTAAACATTAGTTGGAGTAAAATCCTTCAAATCTTAGTGCTTTACAAAAATTACCTGATGACGGAAACTGTTTTTTGCAAATTCCGAAACATAAGAATATATGGTTGAAAACTTGAACTGAGGCATCGTGGCGTAATCGATAAAGGGCATCGTCAAAACACCCGATTCTGAAGGTCTTTTTCAAAATTAAAATGTACGTCGTCATCCGTGGTCGTTGCGTTGTTCAATGAATAAATTGTAAGTAATTTAGTAGAACTGACTTTTACGCATGCGTAGTATATATAAAAAATGTCGCAATGCGGATAAATAAGACTAAACAAAGTTAATGTTCATATCTATCGATATAAAACACCTCTCGATGATTCCTACTATCTATAAAGAAGAAGGAAAACAAAAACTAGTTTTCTTTGGCCTAACTTTATGAACAGTGCCAGGTAGTCATCCAAGCAGAACGAGACCTTACCTGTGACTGTCCAATAAGTTAACAATGGAAGTGTTCGACAGTTCTACTCTAAATCCATTCATTACTTTCAAATGAAAGTACAATAAACAACAAACAAACCATTTGGACATAGCAACGACACGCAGTAGCTTTATTTTTGCAGTGTACATAACATATGCAAAATATGAAAA